TGCACCACGAAACATTGATTAGGTGAAAGGAAAGGGAAAAACAATAAGTAAAATCTTAAAAGTGAAGTTATACTTACGCTTCATGTTCCACTTCTCGGGAAAACTCGAATGAACCGGCCAAACCAGCCTCGATCTCGATCTTCATCTATGCTCAAGAATTGGGCCTTAGTAGCCCGACGGGCAAGATTTATCAATCCCCCTCGGTAGAATCGGGGACTGTATAGACGCATAAGATGGTCGATGGTGAAGGGGAACTTTTTGAGCTTGCTCAAAAAGAAACGAAGAAGAATAACAATCCTCCAAAAATAAAGGATGAATTTGCCCGAGCGTCACTGCATACCTTTTGCAAAAGGCTATGATAATTGGGTATAGAAGGCCCAACGTGAAGGGATAAGTGTAAACACTTAGAAAATCCTCCACGTGGGTAGTGATTGATTCGGGCGTAGGCACCACCAGGTGTTTACCGGCCTAATACAATCTTCCTTGACTTTGGGGAGGAGATTGTTAGTGATGGAGCATATATACCTCGAGACCGGCTCGCATCGACCTGGTACGGAAGGAGTTTTCTCGATCTTGAAGTTTCCCCAGTTGGGCACCCGTAGGAACGAACATAGTTGAGGGGGGTTCCAGTGTCTTTTCCTCAACAACAGTAGACGAAGCCTTTTCGTCTTCAAACGGTCTCGAGGAAGAGGGAGTTTCCTTTTGCGGAAGAGATTTAGAAGTCTTTGCCATTGCTTCTGAGTAAGGGTGAAGAGATGGTACTGATGAAAGAGAGGGCGTAAATGGCGGATAGTTTATGAAAATTTTCAGAAAACTATAAAGGAAGAAGTTTTAAAACTTGAACCAGAAAACCAAAGAAAGAAGGTGATAAAATTTTTCTTAAAAACACAAGAACAAATGAGTTTGAATGCAAAAGTTCTAGTGGATGGAAGGATGAAATATTTATAGTTTGCAAATGGCGGTTCAAAACCCGTGGTGGCCGACCAACAACTGACACACATTTAATGTCTTGGAGACTGGACCGACAGGACGTTATAGTTACATTTTGTCGCTTACGTCATGATTTATTGAAGCAAGGCTCGGAAGTTCATATAGTTTCGTCTTCTCTCCACGAGGGGACTATCTGTATACGGTCGTAACCGGGTTCGTCTATTGCAGGACCAGTCGAGACTGAAACGTGATAGGTCAAAGCTCGACCCCGTGTTATATCAAACCAAGACGCGAAGTTAAATCGTAAGCTCGTGACTCCAGTACCGAACAAGATCAAGGGATCTTTGTCGAGCCAGATAACGGAAGGCCGAAATATCCACGATCGGTTGGAGATCACAGCGGAAATCTCGCACGTATCAAGGAGAGGCCGATTAATTAGTAAATCATGATTTTTACCTTTATAGAATTGTATCAAGAGTAGGATTCCCCTACTATATAAAGGGAGGTTTGATCATTTGTAAAGGACATTGTAATACTCACCAAAAAGCAATAAACTGTTATTTCTAGTTCTTATCATCTTGTTATTTTGTTCTAACATCACTTGAGGCATTTCTTAGCTCGAGGGTGATCAAACTCCAAGGCTAAGGCTGTCTAATTTGTGTAGTTTGCACTTATTTTCTTATCATTAATTTTAATATTAATCTGTTTTCTTAATTTGTATCAAGTTATATCACGTATCCTTAAAATCGCGTATAAATTCAATTGTTATGATTTTGAGGGTAAACAATAAAGTAGTATCCTATATGGTGACCTGAGCTACAAATTTTAGTTTAGGGAAACATTCATTTCAAACACCTTGGGTGGAAGCAACAAATTATTCCCTAGTTATATTGTGTTACTTTCTTGTGACTTAATTTATGTGTCATACTTTCTTTAGTAGAATATAAAAAAAAAAATCATTCTTCTGCATAAATAAATATCTTATTTTATCTTTAATTAGGTTATTTATAGTCACAAAATTTTATGGCTTATTCTAAATTACTAGTTTTAGAAGTTTTCATTTATTTCTTAAACTTTGTCTCTAATAAGATCTTATCATTTAAGACGGAAGAGTACTAAATTTCAAGATGCTCAACTAATCTTTCACAATTTTTTGTGGAATCCATTACTCAAGTGGTTACTCAACTATTCTAAATTATCTAGTAAAGTCATTTTTCTTTCTTTTATAACAGAAATGTCATGAAACTATGCATATAACACTCAGAAGGTCACTCTGCCAAATTTTTCAAAAATTTTACGGTCAAATATTTGTTTTACCTTCTAAATTTTCATCCTTTGTCTTTTTTGTTAAATATTGTGATACTTTTTTTCTTTTTAATCTATATTATGAACTTACCTACAGTACAATAAAATGTTATTATAAAGTAAAAAAGTGCAAATTTTTTTAAGCATATATATATATATATTAGAAAAATAAAATAATTGAGCATAACTTTTAAGCATATGTAATATGTATTACAAACAATATCTCTATTTTAAATTGTTTATATTAAATGCATGGAATATAAGTTTTAAAAGCTTTTATTCTCTTTTATTTTTAATTTTTTAATTTCATTTTTGAGTTTTTGTCATTATTTTCGAAATCACTTATGTGAATAAATTATTTTCTAATTAATTTTTTATTGCGCTCAATTATTTATTATTCCAACATTATGGATGCTTGAAAAATATTTTGCGCTCTTTTACTTTATGAATAAATTTATTTGTTCTATAGATAGTCCATAATAATTAATATAGATTATAAAGAGGAAAAAATATTAAAATATAAAAGAAAGAAGATAAAGATTGATAATTTAAAGGGTAAAATAAGTATTTGACCATCAAAATTTTGAGAAATTTGGTTGAGTATTTTGAATGCTATAGGCATAGTTAAATGAATTTTCTGTTACAAACGAAAGAAAAATGACTTTACTAGATAATTTCGCGTAGTTAGGTGACCATATGAGTAATGAACTCGGTTTTGTGACAAGTGACAAGTACTAGTACATAGAAACCTTGAAGAGTTATTACACTCCAGATAAACAATTACGAAAAGTCATGAGCTTAGGACAGACTTATTTCAAAGGACGCCATACAATCAATCAAATATTCGTCGATTGTAACTAGTGATTGCCTTGATGGATGTGTAATATGAATAAACCAACCCCTCAGGTATGTGGCTGAGTGTTGGCCAATCAAAATTGCTTATATTCAGAAGATGAAGGTAGCAGAGAGGAGGATGTTGAGATGGACGTGCGGGCAAACCAGGTTAGATAGGATCAGAAATGAAGTTATTCGCGACAAGGCGAGTGTGGCCCCTATTGAGAACAAGATGCGGGAAGCGCGACTAGGTGGTTTGGTTATGTGAGGATGAGGAGCACAGACGCCCCGGTGAGGAGGTGTGAGAGGTTGACATTGGAGGGCCTACAGAGAGGCAGAGGTAGGCCAAAGAGGAGGTGGGGAGAGGTGATTAGGCAAGACATGGCGCAACTTCAGCTGACCGAGGACATGTTCCTTAATAGAAATGTATGGAGGTCGAGGATTAGGGAAGTAGAGTAGGTAGTCTAGAGTGTTCATAACAATAGTATTTGCACGCAGTCTCGCTTTCTGTTGGTAGTAGGTTTTTATTACTAACCGTTGTTTCCTTCAATGTTGATCACCTTACTATCTTGTTGTTTTTATTCTGCTTTTATATGCCTTTTTGGTAATGTCCCTTCTTGTCTATATTTTCATTAATGTGGTGCTTATGCTTTCCTGAGCTGAAGGTCTATCGGAAACAGCATCTCTATCCTCACTAGTAGGAGTAAGGTCTGCGTACACACTACCCTCCCCAAACCCTGCGGTGTGGGATAATACTGGGTATGTTGTTGTTGTTAGTATGGACTCTGGAGTCTGGACCTAAGCGATAGATACGTATTATGTCCTAATGAATAATGACACTGGAGTTAGAAATTTTAAGTTTTGGTGACACACTAGTTCATGAAACTTACCAACTACTATTTCAACAGCTAGTTGGTGCTATATTTTTGATATATTATACTACTACTTTTTCACTAAAAGAAAAACCTTGACAAAGATAATAGCAAAAATCATAAACCATTTGCAGATGGCACACCCAGCTCAGATGATTATACATCACACTCTCTCAAAATGATAATGGTTCGGTTAAGATGTGCCCACTGGCCACTGCATATAATGGTAAATATGTAGTGAGAGTTGATACCCGTTATATTATCATCCTATCTGTTGCTGATGCAAAACATTGAAACCATTTCTTCCCAAAAAGATAAAAAGGTACAAGGAGACAAACATAAACAGTCCCAACTATTTAAATCTTCTTCAACATGCATGTAAGCTGCCCCCTATCTTCAAATTTACAGCATGAAGCATTCCCGCTATATTCCAACGCAAAAAAATGACAGAATTAATATCTTAGTCATCTCCGATGAAGAGTTGAGAAACAAGGACAAGTGCTAAATAGTAAGATGTTAATTTGCATCACATCAAAGGAGCTATATCTCAAGAGAGTAAGATCAACAAGGAATCAGTTGTCCCAAGAATAGCGATTCTGAGTGTACATATACTGAGAAGAAGCTTAAAATCCACAAGTTCCAGCACTATCACATGAGGTATAAACCAAGCCTACATCCTTAATCAATGTTTTGGAAGTAGAAGCCATATCTACATATCACATAACTTTTTCACTAGCTGTTACACCATCATGTTCAGTAGGCAAAAACCAGACAAGTGCATAGATTTTGTTAGCTGTAAATGGAAAAATGTTTCCAGTTTTAAACGAATAATGAAAAGCATCATGGGAATAAATCGATCAGTCAAAACAAAGCAAAGGAGAGTATCATACTGACTCTAAAATCCAACAAACATATTCCCTCCATTCAGCACAGCAACAATGGGTCTTCAGCTAGCTTCATTCGCCACCTCACTCAGTCCGTGGGAGCTGTTTCTTTTTGCAGTAACTAGTCATGTGTCTAAAGTACTTGCACTTCAATTAATACATCCAAAGAAAGAGATTTGAAATCAAAGAAGCATATCAAATATATAAAATCAAAGGTGACAAAGATTAGAGTTCATGGGCAAAATATGGTTTAGTTTACCATGATATATGGGAACTTGCTAGCAGCAGCAGCACATTGAAGAATATTAGAATTTGCCGCAAAAATCCACACAAAAATTCAGTTCTTCAGAAAATTTTAGCTAAATTTCAAAAAACTAGAAAAGCTAACAAGGGGCAAAATAGAAAAGCACATGTAAATCAGCATAGAATTAGTCCTCAATAGCAAACAGAACCGTTCATCTGCACTCTACACCAACTTCAGCAGCTCGCCTAGGCTTGTTTTTCCTTCTACTCCCATTTTGTCTAAATCCAACCGACTTTATTAAGTCATTGGAGTTAGTTTTAGTCACAACACCATTTTCCACTTTCGCTGAATCTGCTTCCTTGACTTGTGAAGTTCTCTTCCTCTTTTTTCCAATATTCACAGCAGTTTGGTTCTTGACATCTTTAATTAAGACAGAACCTTTGGTATTCTCACCGTCATCTTCATCTTCTTCTAATTTCCCCTCATTTTCTTCTTCCTCCTCTATTTCATCCTTTAGTGGTTTCAGTGGTCTTCCCCTTCTCCGCACTGGTATCTTCTCTTCTTCACCACTTCCAATATCGTCACGAACAGATTGCTTCTTTGCCTTTCCTCTTCCTCTGCCCATTGTTCAAAGCTGGAAATTCTGCTCCTGAAGACTTCTTTTACAAATCTAAAGCTCAGAGGCCTTAAAATAGCATGTAGCACTCCAAGAAATAAAATAAAAAATCCTATGAAATACACGAAAAGAGCGGATTAGACAGAACCACACAATCTTAGAGGACCAATATATGAGAAGGATTATACTTCAACTCATGAAAACAGTTCTGAGAAAGAGAATCCCACTGGATATCATACATCAATATGAACAGTAAAGATAAATAACTTTATCTTTGATGAAAGTGTATCCTCAAAACTCCAAATTCAAATCGGAAAAATAAAAGGGCAGCCGGTGCACGAAACATCTCGCATTCACGCAAGGTCCGGGGAAGGGCCGCACCTCAAAAGTGTGATGTAAAACTCAAATAAATTTAAGTTTTTCCACAAACAAGCAAAACCTAAAAAAAGAGAATGATTCAAATGAAACATAAATCCTTCATAAATTATTCAAACACTAGAGCTTAAACAAACTAAATCAAGTGGAGTAAAAAGATTCTTGACCAAATATGCACCCCCCCAGAAAAAACGAACTCAAATATCTAACATTCATCAGGCAATTAAAAAAGAAAAAACACAATATGCCATATATTAAGAAGCAAATCAAGAACATCAACAACACAAGAGAGGAAAAAAAAACACATGGCAGCTTTACATTAAAACTCAAACTATATCATAAAGATTGAATCTTTAGACTAACCCATAAAGAATCTATCATTAAGCTATTGTTTCTGATGCTCTTGGAATTAAAACAGAGTGAAACATACCTAAAGAAGCGGATTTTTCAAGAATCAGCCACTATTTGAATCTTTAACCAAAAACCATTTTTGAAAATCTCATAAAACCAATTAAAAAAACAAAGGAACAACAATATTCAGATGGGTTAATATTGTGAAGTGTTAAAGGTTGAAAAGTGATGGAAGTAGAGAAACTAAATATTATTTGCCAGTAGAAAAAACTGGTCAAAAAGAAAATATAGAAAAGAACAGATCACAATGAAGAGTTTAATATGCGAATGGAGTTTTGAGGAGATGAATTTATGCCATTAAAGGTTGAGAGCTGTGGGAATAAGCCAAGGCAAAGAGGCAAAGCCAAAGAAGACTACAAATGAAAGAAGTGAAGAGAAGAAAAATGGGACAGTAGTAATAGTAATAGAAATTGTTGAAAATATCATTTTATTTATGTAAATGGGCACTTTGGAAAATTAGGGTAAGTTACCAAATTGAGCGTAGGTGTTTGGAGATAATAGGAAAAAGAAAATGAAATAAATTTCAACCAAGTAAGATTAAATTATTGTTTCTCTTTTATTTTATATAGCACTCTTTATTTTTTGACTTATTTTAAAAAATAACACCTTTCTACTTTTGAAAAAGAATTTAAATTTAAATTTTATTATACGCATTATATTTTTAAGATAAAAATATCTTGGCATATTTGAGATACAGTTTTAAAAGTCTTTTCTAAATTATTTTCATTGTCAAAAATATAAAAAGAAACTGAAGGAGTAATAAACTTGATAAGGAAGGGGTGGAGGTGTTGTACTATGTGAATTATTAAGGGGACATCTTCATGAACATCTCATGGATCGCCTTTACTACGTAAATCAAGTTAATGTTGAGTGAATAATTAGTAGTGTATTTAATAGATGGTAAACATGATCTATTTTTAAAGATGAAACAGTTCATAATATATGAGATAGCACGAAAACATAAGCAAAAAATTAGAACTTGATTTTGTTTAGTACAAATACAAAAACTTTTCGAGATTTAGAGGAGTTCAATAGTAAGAAAAAATATTTTATTTGTTTAGCGTTATGTTTGACTAAATGAAACCTCTCTATAATAGCATCCCTATATAACAACACTTTACTATAAATTCAAGTTTTTCCGGAATCAATTTTGATGTTATGTTATAATATATGTTCTCTATAACAGCATTTCGCTATAACATCCAAAAATATTCAGAACAAACGAGACTGTTATAGAGAGATTTGACTATAGATAAAACTCACATACTGAAGAGTCTCTAAAATTAATAATCATTTGACTTCTAATGTTATCATATTACTTTCTATCTTGATTTATATTTATATCATGATTTTATTATTTGATAAGAAAGGCAGATATTGACTCTTTGAATACTATGTCAATGTAATTGGTTTCAAATATTACCTGATGTGGAAGGGAAATTATTATTCCGTATTTTCGCAGTTTCTTTTTAAGAAATTGTTGTTGTATATTTTAGTAGCCAGTAGTAAAATATTTTTAAAGAATATTGAGAAAATCGGAGGGTAGTTTCGTCTTTAGATGAGCTAGTTGTAACGACTTGTGTGAAGAATTTATAAATATGATTAGCAGTAAATATTCTACACGTATTAGAATCCGGAGAACCCCATTGGTATGTACTAGGTCTAATTATTAATTCTAGGATGATGACTGGAAAGCCCTCTCTTTGTTGGGCTGTCTGCATCCCATATGTCCTAGGGCCCACATGTTGAGTTGGTTGATGACTTGATCCTGTCAAAAGGGCAGATACTTGAGTAGGTTGGTTGCTATGGGCTGGTTACTGAGCCCAATTCAGTAATTAGGCCTATTGACATGCCCAGCAATGAATTGAGATTTAGCCCAGTTCAGTTTGACCCAATTAGCAGTCCCTTGTGCAGTTGGAACCTGGTGAAATTCAAAAATAGCCAGATCTACAAGTGGTAATTGAAAAATAGTCACGGTTTCAAAAGTAATCGAATTTTAGCTACTTTTTATGTAAACATAAATCTGAATCGAAAACACTGTTCAAAATCCAAAAAGTATTATTATGCTGGAGTTCGAATTTTTTACATGTGAACTTCCAGCATAATATATTGGAGTTCCAGCATAATATGCTGGAATTTCATACATAGATGCTCCAATCTCCAGTATATTATGCTGGAACTTTCCGTGTTGCAGTAAAATAATGGCTATTTTTCAATGACTTTGCAAACACTGGCTATTTTTCAATTACTAGTCCGAAAACTGGCTAGCCCGTGCTATTTTCACGTTGGAAACTGTACGGGCAAAGATCACATTTAGCCCATGGCCGAAATTATTTACATTAGATAGCCGCAAAAGTGTATAAAATTTGTATATATATAAAAATTATATTTTTCGGGTATTATTTTTAGAGAGGCTGTATCGTACCTAGCTTATCAAACGCGCAGTGACACCTTATTTGATTCTTTTCATTTCAATACATTTTTACTTTTGCAGCAAAGAGAATCAATGACTTCAAGCTTTGAATCAGCTAACTAATTTTCAGCATAATTTTTATTTATGACTTTCATACTGTATTTTGCATTTGGTAGAGGTTGCTTGGGAGGAATAGGTAGCCATTTGTTTTTTAATGTTTACTAAGCAGAGTTTTTAAAGAATTACTAAGTCAATACAGTTGACTTTTTTGACACGTCATTGCAAAACCTCGACATTCCCTAATATACAGTTGACAGTTGACTTTTTTGACACGTCATTCCACGACTTTTCAGATTTCTTCCAGAGTGTTAAAAGGAACTAATGTGGTTTGTGAGAAAAGAAAATGATACCCGAATATAATATTGTGGAAAGAAGATGAGTTCTGTGAGAAGATCAATAAATGATTTTTGAAATATGCAAATCCCAGTAAAAAATTCTCCCGCGCGCGGATTTACATCCTCATGTTAACTGTAGTCTGTAAGTATTTATCAAGTTACGAACCAGGTGAAAAGAAGTATAAAGTTCTTTTGATGACACTTCAATATTTTTCACAAGAACTTGGATTTTCACTTTAAGCATAGACGAATCATGGAGAGAGATTAGTAGCTTTGCCAATTTTCGTCCGTTCAAGAAACTTTCAGAATCATCACATTGTGCTGCTGCTAAACACTAGTTATATAAATATGAATTAAGAGAATTAAAGGGCAAATTAGCAGTCGTGGAATATGGAGACTATTCGTGGGAAAACGTTGTTTTATGAACCCTGTGTGAATGCGGGATGCTTTACTCAACAAGAAGGATGGTAGACAGTCTAGAGACACGTCATTATTAGCTTTCCCTTAGTTTGCTAGTGCTTATGAGTGACAGAGAAATAGGAAGTTGAAGTCATCATACAAAACGTGAAGCTACGAGACAGCAAGTTTTCAAATACCATATCTAAAGATGAATAGTTCTGAACTTTATACCAGCTTACCAAAATTAAAGTGACATCTTATTTTATTCCTTTCATTTCATACATTTTTAACTATGCAGCCAACAGAATCATTGACATCTACCATGAATAAACCACCTAATTTTCAGCACAATCTATGATTTTATACTGTATTTTACATATGTTACAATTTACTTGAGGTTAATTAGCTCAACATGTTGCCTTTCCTTTTGAACCAAGTAGTGAAGAATCTGGTTCTTGATTTTGCTGCAGGACTAAGCTACTTCTTTCCAAATCTTTAGTGATTTCTGATGCATATACTTCTATGGAAAAAAACCAAAAATTAATGTAGTTACTATAACACTTAACTTGTGTTGGATGGGAAATGTGTGTTATTCCGAATCTTCTACATCCAGAATTTCTGCATCATCCTGCGCAGGAGATGATATGCTTGAATTTTGTCTCTCCAATAGATTCCTGTTTGTCCTTTGTTGTCGATCAAATATCCTCTTCAATTTTTTTGCTTGTTCTTCAATCCTCATTTGCAACGTTCGCTGAGTCTAGCAACATAAAGAGTATACGATCTATTCAGAAAGATTAATGGTTGTGCAGGTTCTTTTACTCTGGCAAAGTACTATCATATTTTTCAGTAGTATCCACTAATGATATTCTCAGTATGTTAGTTAAAAGTAGCTAAATACACAACAAGACAGATACCTCTAGTTGCTCATGAAGACACCTCTGGACTTCTAGTTGCATTTTCAGTGCTTCCTTGATTTCTATTCCACTGCAAACAAGTTTGACATCAGATTTCTTTTCCAGTTAAAAATTTTAGCCTAAAATGATCACTAAAATAAACAAGAGAATAGCAAATAGATATACGTTTTGGCCTCGATCTCTGTCACATTATCCGGACTGTTTCTCTTTTCTGATTTCCCTGCTACATAAAAATGAGAAAAAACCGATCTTCAGAAATAAGCGTTATATTCTTTTTCTCAAGAACATGAAAGTAACACTGGAAAATAGCATACTTTCTGTAGATTCTGGAATGTGCTTTGCATTTCGGTATTTCTACAAAGGAAAAAAGTTCAGACAAGGAAAAAACATAGCTTCAATATTCATCCAGTAATACAAAAAATGACTTGTGAAACAAAGTTCTTTCTTATGAATTAAGAAGTACCTGCAAATGGCTTTTAACATGATCAAGGGTTAAGCCTTCTGAGTCCATCAGATTAAGTATTTGCTTTGGTGTAGCCTCTGACAGACGGATGAATAAGATCAAAGGTTATCAAGCTCTAGAGAAAGAAAGAAATCGACGAGACAAAAAGATAAGTTTGAAATTACTTACTGTCAGCACCTCCAAGGCGATTTACACAGTCAAGAAATCGCTCGTGGAGATCTTCACTCCATCTGATTCTTGTCTTACTGTGCTTATTGGATACTCCAGAAGATGCAGAGTTACGAGAAGTGAGTGAAGGACTCGCGCATCGTTGCCTCATTTTTTCCAAAGGACAGCCACAGAAATCATGAGAGATCTGTGAGACATATATATATATATATATATATATATATATATATATATATATAAGAAGACTCAGAATGATATTGTTTGAGATAAAGGTTAAGACTTTTTAAGTACTTACACTATAATTTTGATTTCCATCAAAAGGAATTGAAGGGTGCCTCCTATATGAAGGATCAAATTCTCCCAGCAACTCATTTTTGAGATGCAACATCCTCTCTTTCTCAGATACATCGGAAAAAGAATAATGTCTACGTAGAGGTTGACTGGTTGAGAATTCTGGCCTGATGAATGATGGCAGAGAAATGTTGTGCTGAAAATCAGGCTCAGGTTGTGCAATTGAATCTGTCAAGAAGCCATTTCTACTTTGTTGAGGATCATATGATGACAATTGAATATCATAATTATTGATCAGTTGAGAAGTATTATCTTGGTTAAGATCATAATTATCTATCATGAGTTGGGAAGTATGATCTTGGTTAAGATCATTATTATTGAGCATGAGTTGGGAAGTATTATCTTGATTATCATGCTGTGTCAATCCCAGGCAACGTTCTGTGGCGAAAAACGCTGAACTGGGGGATCCAAAAAAGCTGATCATAGGCAAATTACAACTCTGCTGATGCTGCTGTCGGCGGCCTTCCTCTGGCTGAAAACAGAATCCCATGTATGATGAATACTGTTGTTGAGCAACTAAATCTTGAGCTGAGATTTTAGGGAAATCTAAAGTATAATCACTTGAAAACTCATTGCTCTGATGTGCTCTATCCTGAGTAAAGATCCTCTGAATACTCATTTCAAGATGATTATAAGAAGCTGCAATATCAAAGTCAAGAACCAAAGGTGAATTCTGTCAAAAATTTCAAGATTCAAGGTGTATTTTAATTGAGAATTTCTTGTCTCAAGGAATCCCTTAAGGTCATGAGCTGTGCTAGAGATTATGCGACATCAAGAAAACGACTATGAATATTCAGTATAATGAAATGCAGCACTATTTAATTTCAGATGGACAGCTCCTGACTACATTCCTTTTTTTTTTTTATATATAGAAGACTTCATACAAACACAACATATACAATATGTCAACGACTCAAAATGCCAGCTTTGTTAATACTCAATTGTGTAATACGGATAAGGACTAATAAACAGCCCTTCCTTGACAAAATCAAGGCCAGAACATTAGAATAAGAAAACAATTCCACCCACCCACCCTAACCCCGCCTCCCGCCCCATTCCAAAAATATTTTTCAACTTACACATTTTAAGGTAAAAGGCTTTTTTATGTAAGATGAGCATGATTCTAAAACACGGGTCAAGTTGGGCGGGTTGGGGTATGACCCATTGTTTAGCCCATCTTGACCCAGTCAATCTTAGCCCAAGTACATTTTGGGCTGGGTTAAGCAATGACTCATTTATTTGACCTAACCCATCTTGATCCGCCCAAATTCAGTCCGACCCGCCCATTTGCCACCCCTACTCTTAATTGGCGTGTTTCCTTCCGGGTTATATTAGGAACTTCATCATCTCTTCTAGTCCGACGAGAAGATAAAAGATACTACAGAATTTCTGTTAAGAAAAAAAGAGATTTTAGTAGTTCTTATTTAAGTTACTGCCACCGTTTTGATTAAAGGAGAACATAATTTATGGGGAGTATTTGTTAACGTAATAATGCCATTTCTTTTATACGAATCTAGATCAAATGATGCAGGTTTTCCAAAGTTGTGTCTGTTACATCAACTGCAATTCCTTTTTGATTAATTATAATGAGAGTAGGAATCTCAAACGATCTATAAACTATGTTCCCACCTGATTTTATATTTCATCATTTCAGATACCTGTTAAGAAAATATATATACAACATAAAAATCTAGTTTTGATTCTCTAATCATTCCTATTTTTCTTGTTTATTTCCCTATCATTAGAAACAACTGTTGTTTCCTGGTTGGTCCAGCGCTTTGCGTCCCTAAACTTCCTAGCAGCACTAGTAATACAATATCAACAATTATTATTATGCTTTAATTCCCGAGAAAATTTGAGTCGGCTATATGAATAATAAAATTCTAGTTTCTGTTAATGAACCAGAACAAGAGCATGGCAACAAATGCACAGAATCTTGTACATAGTATCTAACCAAAACAAAGAAACAAGAAAATCACCCTGATTTCAAACTAGGGCTGCAATCTTTCTGATTATTTAATGTTGTAATAGCAGCCTTTTATCGGATTCTCCGAGTTTCTCTGTCTACTGGTTAATTTGCTATTTTTTCAATTGCGGCATTTAATTTAAAATAGTGTTTTCATAAATATACTAGCTATGTTACGTGTGTACGGGTAAAATCGGGGCAGAGTTTTCCCGATTCCCCGATGGGAAACAAAAGGGAAGCACGGCTTGACACGACTACAAGCGAGGCCAAAGGACTCCTCGTATTGTATCCCGGGAGGAGTGAATGATGCGTCTAGGACCGGGCACGGTGAAATAACGGACCCAGACCAAATAAGGTTTCTGGACCACGGGAAACGCGGAGAACCGTTATGCAAGAGGAGTAGGGAGCCGTAATATTCTACCCCAACCGGATATTATGGCGCGAATCCCGTACGATATCAACTGCGGATCGACATTTACCGGAAAATGAGATTTTTACCTTATTTAGACTTGTACTTAGACTGAAATTTTTCTACTATATAAAGGGGAAGGGTTTTTTGTTTTGACACATTGTGACACATTAATCAAAAATAAAAGTTAATTTTTGTCCTCTAACTATTATCCAAAGTGTTCTTCATTCATTCTCTTCTTTATTCGCATTCGAACTCATATCGAGGGTCCGATCGAGGCCTAATTTCACTGTTCAACCTAAGATTGGGCCTAATCACTACATTACGATTGGTTTGATCTTTTATTTTATCTTTAACTTATTATTTGTTATTCTTAGACTATTCGTATTGAATTAAATCACACATCCTTTAAACCGCGTACAAATTTAGTTGTTACTCATTTTTTAGGATAAACAGATTGGCGCCCACCGTGGGGCTAAGAATAATAGCGGTGATTTGATACGAATCTCTATAATACACCCTATTTTATGCTTGTTCTTTGAAGTTTTGATTCCAAGCTAGCCCAAGGATGTCAAATTCTCAGTCTGCTCACTTGAACGTTGATGCCGAGTCAGGCCATCATGGTGAGAATAATAACGTGATGCCTAGCATGAAGTGCCCCCTGTAGATCCCAAGGTGTCCCAGCTGCTGACCTGGTCGATGCTAACTCACAGCTGGCCAGTAATATCAATCTACCGGCTGATCCCAAAAATAACGTTCATAGGGGACCCCGACCAGCGGCTCGAGAAGCGCCCGAAGGCGAAGGTGATTGGGTGAGCCTGCGGTTGATTTACGAAATGTTGCAGGCTCAGCAAGCAGCGATAGCGCATCTATAGAACCATAGACACACCCCTAACAGGGTCGAGCCCGAGCAGTCACGGGAATATACTCAGAGGGATGAACAAGTTGTCGTGGAACCGAGCGAATTCAGGTCCGGGGAACCTTCCAAGGTGATGAAGATGCTCGAAGCATTGACAAAATGGGTGGAGTCTGGCGAGAAGAAGATTGAGGCCAACAACAAGAAGGTAGAAGCGTATAACTCCACGGTCGATCAGATTCCGGGAGCGCCTCCGATATTGAAGGGGCCGAACTCCAAGAAGTTCATTCAGAAGCCTTTCCCCCCGAGTGCGGCATCGAAGCCGATCTCGAAGAGGTTTTGAATGCCCGACATTCCCCAGTATAATGGGACCACGGATCCAAATGAGCATGTAACCTCCTATACATGTGCAATCAAAGGGAATGACTTTGAAGACGACGAAATCGAGTCGGTGTTGCTGAAACAATTTGGGGAAACCTTGTCCAAAGGAGCAATGATATGGTATCACATCTTACCTCCGAATTCTATCGACTCGTTTGCTATGCTTGCAGATTCTTTAAAGCCCATGCCGGTGCCATCAAGGTCGAGACCAGGAAGTCAGACCTTTTCAACGTCAAGCAGAGGGATAACGAGATGCTTAGAGAGTTCGTGTCGAGGTTCCAGATGGAACGTATGGATCTGTCACTTCTTGCGGATGATTGAGCCGTCCAGGAATTTACTCAAGGGCTCAACCCCAAAAGTTCAAGGGCCTCTCAACAGCTAAAGCAAAACTTGGTGGAGTACCCAGCGGTGACTTGGGGCGACGTCCACAACAGATATCAATCGAAGATCAGAGTCGAAGACGACCAACTCGGGGCCCCTTTGGGATCTGTTTACTCCATCAAAACCGATGACAGGTCTAAGAGAACCATCGATCAAGAGCTGATGATGGTCCAAGATCGATATCAGCCATACAACGCGAAACGGAGGGGAAATGGATACAGGCACCATCCGCCAAGGAACGAGAAGAGAAATGATCGAGGATCAAGCGACCGGGGCCTGATGAGTAAAATCGGGTTTGATAGGTCGCTCGGGAGTAGGGAGGCACCAAGATTATCGGAGTATAATTTCAACGTGGATGCTTGTCACACCTCCTTTTTTACACACCTACCCCGAAGGATAAATGTATAAGGGAGTTTTTCCATTTAAAGTGACATTATTCGAAATGGGATCATTTATTTATTTTTAGAGTCGCCACTTGGGATAGGATTGGCTTTTGGTGTCCCAAGTCACCGATTTAATTTAAATCCCAAATCGAGGAAAATTTCGACTTCCCAATTGGAGTCTGCGAACCAGAAATTCTGTGTAAGGAATTCTGTTGACCCGAGGGAAGGTGTTAGGCACCCCCGGATCCCGTGGTTCTAGCACGGTCGCTTAAATTATCATAAATGGCTAAAATCTGGTTTTTATACATATTTAAACCTATAGTGCAATTTTAAGATTATTTACCGCTTTTAGTTTATTTTGTTTTTACGAAAGTGAACGCCGTTTAAGAGCATGTTTTTGGATCACGTCACATGAAATGCACCCGGATCCTAAACACCTCTTATTCAACGTTTTGGGATTTGGATTTGGGTTGCATGAAATGCGCACCCGAGTTTAGGAAAGTAAAATTATTAAAAGCGTGCCTAAAGTGGCTAGCGCCTTATTAACTTTGCGGGAAGCCATGAAAATTCGCTAAATGGCATGTCCCGAATTTCTAAAGATTAAAATTAATTAAGTGAGGGCCATGGTTTTTGGGATTTTATTCGGCATGGCACGCCTCGACTTATTCTTAAAATTAAATTCGCAATTATGTTATGCGAACATGTACACAATCACGGTTATAGATTAAATGTGTCTAGAGCATTTCCACTGATATTAGCTTCTTATATCATATAAAAAATTACAAAGAGACCAACTGTTATGAATTTTCCTCTATAACAACATGGCGAAGTGCAGAAACAGCCGATTTTAAGACATCTATTTAAAGAATAACCACTTTTTACAAAAGAATTTAAAGTTAAAGACATATGCTATTCTGATTCCATACACGAAAATTAATTCACAGTAACAACCAACATTTACCCAAAACAAATATTTATGAAAATGCAACATGTAGTTTGGCGAACCATTGATATACATTACTACAAAACAAACATTATGAAAATGATGTCTTTTATATTCCTATTCTCCTTCAACCATAACAAGACACTTCTAATAAATCAATAAACAAAGGCAAGATTTAACAATCAGAACATACCCGTAACTGGACGTGAACAACGCGACAGAACATACACGGAAAATTTATTGACCGTCGACGGAACTACGACCAGACCTCGAAACCAGTATCACCTCGACGCCGGATTGACGAACAGAACCAGGACTAACGTTTTTTTTTTTTAACAAAAAAGAGAGATCTGCGGCTGTTATTGTGGGCGAGGGGCTGCTGGGCGTTTTCCAGCGACAGGTTTCTGCAGAGAAGACAACGTTCAGGAGGGTGGGTGTGTATTTTGTGTATTCCGGCGCTTCTCCTTCAGATTTTGGGCGCCTCTTTTTGTTGTGTATTGCCCGATTGTATATTTTTTAGTGTAG